CCTCCAGGAGAGACACTGGGGGAGAAGAATGCGAGCTAAAAACCCAAAGTGTTCTGCTAGATGTTGGGTGCACATAAAAAGATGGCAGCAGCTGATATTGGAAGGAAGGACAGCCAACCTTTCTCCCTTCCAAGCAATTCCTACATTGTTTGTGGAGTCTCTTTCCCTCCCAAGGCTTGACCTTGAAGGACACTATCAATTCCTTAAAATTTTGGTGCAAGACTGTTGTGAGTTATTTCAGCACGTGATCAGGCACAGCGCCTCTCTTTCCTTTTCCCTCTCCTACCTTCCAGAAGGCTGTGTTCAGGGGAAACTCAGGGGTGAATTCCCCATGCCCAGTCTCTGATGAATCAAAAACTTACTTCTGCCCCACCAATGTATTTGGTTCCTCTCGCCAGTGCCTGCTACCGAAGCCCAGTACATTGTAGGGGCAGGCTCACACAAAAACAACAGCTTCAATAAAAGGGATGTGCTGCCAGCCCCCCTCCCTTCTCCTGTGAGGGTTTGTACAGTCCTGACTTCCTCACAGAGACTCTGATCTGCAAGTTGTATTCACGACTATAAAACAGAGATTAGCTCTTATCTCTGGCAGGCAGCAATATCAGGCACCAGCCCTTGCTCCAGAGCATTGGCAGCCGTGGACCAGACCAGCACGGGAAGACGAACTTCTTGGAAGAGGAGGAGGATGCGGAAAACATGGGGAAAACCAGTTACAGGAGGTGAACCTGGAGGATGGGATGATGCCAACCTGCCCTGGGCTGCGAGGGAGCCCCGAGCCGCGGTGCAGGGCGAAAGGCAGGGGAGGAAGCGGTGATTAGACACCAGCATCTGCAATCAAGAGGCAGGAAGTGTGATTGCCGGGAAACACTCGCCTCTCTTACCGTGCCTGATAAGCCGCCGAGTGCCCCGCGGAGGAGGCACCCAGCCCTTCCGTGCCCCCCTGGAATGGTGCCTGCCCGGCAGCGCCCCAGCCCTGCACACGCAGGGAGCTGGTCCTTGCTGCTGAGCCATCGAAAATGTTTCCACTGGTTTCCAGTGGCCACTAATTGCCAGCGCTCCCACAGAAATCCCCAAGCCCATTGGCTTGCAGGAGGGATGGCCCAACAGGGAAGCATTTCCAACATTGATCCTTCCCTTTTGCTGGCAGTGGGGTATCATTGTACCTGGATGGAGGAGCTGTATAGACAGGCAAAAACCCAGGGCTGGTTTGGAGTGTTACTCACAGCAAGACAAACACAGCTCTGCTTATGTAGAGGATTGGGTTGATTCGGCAGTGGGATGTGTGGGATCAGGCTTTGGTCATCAGATGGCTGCAGGAGGGAAAGTAGGAGAGGGAGAGGGGGACAGAGAGAGGGGAGGTAGGGAAGAAAAAAAGAAAAATAAAAAGCAAACCAAAAGAGAAAAAAATTAAAGAAAGGAGAAAAAGG